TCACCTGAGGCGGTGAAGAGTCTAGGACGGGCGGAGCCTGCGTGGCTTCTGGAACACATGAATGCATTGCTCGAAGCACAAACCTTTCCTGAGCCTTGGAAAACATCGAGGTTAATACGCTTCCCAAGGCTAGGGAAAAGTATCGCCCAATCTGTCTTTTTCCATGTATCAGTAAGCTGTATGAAAGGATGCTGCGAGTACGCATATACGACATGATTGAGAGGTCAGGTGGTTTATCTCGGAGGTAATTTGATGTTAAGAATGCGTTCAATACGCTGCAGTGGAACGATGTAATGAAGGCAATGGAGGAGAGAGAATATCCTGGTTACCTGATGAATGTGGTGGCGGAGTATCTGTCCGAGAGGAGGATTATGGTGGAAAAGGACACGATCGTGGACATAACGGCCGGGGTACCCCAGGGATCTGTCTTGGTCCCGACGCTATGGAACCTGGCATATAACGGGGTTATGCACGGAATACGCAGCGTATGACCTCGCTGTGCTGGTAGTGGCCCGGGATGAGCCAGATCTCAAATACCGAGTTCGGAACGCAGGCCTCGTCGTAAATAAATGGATGACGCAGCACGGACTGAAACTTGCGGCAGAGAAAACCGAAGCCATTATTCTGAAGGGAACAAGGAATGGCCAAAGTATCGAATTACAATGTTCGGGAGCATGTCTAATACCCAAGAAACAAGTAAAGTACCTAGGAGTGACATTGCACCAGAATGGAAAATGGGGAACAGATGCGGGAGTGGTGAATCCGAAAGAAGGAGGGTCTTATACGGTATTGTACAGTCGATCGTCCTCTACGCGGCGCCAGTCTGGAGCAACGCGGTAGGGATAACGGCTTATAGGAGGCTCATAACACACGTGAACAAAACAAGTCTGTTGCGAGTGGCATACGCCTACAGGACTGTGTCTGCGGCAGCCTTGTGGACCATCATTGGATGTGTTCCGTTGCATGTTTTGGCGGTGAAAAGAAAAGAGCTCTATGAGAGAAGAGGCTCAAACCTTATTGTGGCCGAGAGAAGACAGGCGACTGGATTATTTGCTGACGCAGGTGCTCACAGGACACAGGTGTTTTAGGGCCTACCTCTCTAGGTTCGGAAAGGCTGACACAGATGAATGTCTATACTGTGGATACTCGGACATTGTGACACATGCGATTTTAGATTGCAGAAGATGGGTAGTGGAAAGGAACACATTAAAGAGAGAGACAGGTGTAAATTTTGTTACAGTGAGAGAAATGATTGAGAGAATGATTAAAAATATATCAGGTTGGACTAACATACACAGCTATATTTGTGCAGTGATCAAGAAAAAGGAAGAGGAAGAATGACAGCTGAACCAACCGCCAAAGTAAGAGTGAAAGATGCTAAAAGTTGAAGCTAGAAAAGTGGGCCAGACTGTATGAGTTAAAATGCGTGAGTCAGACTGTGGGAAATGAGGAAATGCCCGTCTGGGAATGATGCCGTACTAGAAGTGATGAGGTTTTCTACGCTACCCGGAACGAGACAGGGAATTTCCCTGCTGATGAATGGAGCGTGGATGTGTATGAATGGAGAATGAATAAATAAAGGTAGTGCTTCGGAAGTGATGCCGGCCTTACAGCGGCCATTCTGCTTCCGGATCGCTGGATGACAGAGGAGGGTCTGGTTTAGCAGGTAGGCGTTCGGCGTAGACGAGAGGGCATTTTAAAGTACCTTGGGAACTATCGCCGGCAGTACGAAGAACGAATCCCGCACTAAGGTCAGTCAGGCGGCGTCCTGGACTGAGATGTCTTTTGAAGATTCCAGGCCCTCCCCCTCTATAAAGACGAAAAAAAGGTGCCCCGTGAAAGAAAAAGGACCACGCAAATAAATTGCTTCTTGGACAGTTGGAATGATGGAAATTGTTTTGCAGTCTATCCAAAATAGGGCAAATATTCGAAGTGCTAGTAAGACATATGGTGTTCCTTGTAGTTCAATTAGAGATAGAATATGAGCTGGCGTATGCACTCTCGCTAGATTAGTACGTTCTGCAACATTTACAAAACATAAAGTAACGGAAATGGCAAACCAAGTTTTACTTTTGTCAAAACTATTTTATGGGATATTCCAAATTAAACTAAGGCGTGTGGTATATGAATACGCAAAAAAAATAAAATTAAGCATAGATTTAATATGGTTACTAAACTCTCTGGTGTAAACTGGATGCATGGTTCTCTTAGAAGAAACCCTAGTTTAAGTTTAAGGAAACCAGAACCGACAAGCGTCAACCGAATGAAGGCATTCAATAGGTATGAATTTCAACAATTTTTCTTCAACCTCGCAGTCTTAATGTAGCGCTATAATTTAGTCCTGCGAGGATATTTAACGTAGATGAAACATGGATTTCTGCGGTCCAAAATTCTTGAAATATTCTGGCACAAAAAGGACAAAAACAATTCGGTGTTGTCAGTAGTTGGGAGCGAAATAAAAACCACACTGAGTGTTGGGCAATTAGTACCTCTGGAGTATTTATTCTACTAATGTTTATATACCACAGACAGCGTATGACGCCATTATTAGAACGAGGAGGCTTTCCTGAGTCTATCTATCGATGCAGGAAGTCAAGTTGGATGGCTGAAGATTTATTTCTGAAATGGTCCCACAAGATACAGCCTCTGGATGTAACAGTTTTTGGCCCATTAAAAAGGGAGATAGTATCATCGTTTAACAATGATTATGCTCGTATCGCTACAGTAGGGAAGGCAGTTCAATGATTAGAGGTGACTAGTATATGTCCTGTTAATCCAAACGTGTTCAGTGACGTAGACTTTCTGCAATATGATACTTAGAAGAGTCGGAGATTCTGGAAGCAAATTCAGAAATTCAAGAAAAGCATGAAAAATCTCCAGGTCCAAACATTGGTTTGCAGACAGCAATCCAAACAAATGTATCTCCAAAACCAAACATATCATTTACAGAATTAATGCCAAAACCCGGACCATCAAATACACAGGAAAAAACTTTAAGACGGAAATAACATTAAGATATTCTGGCTTCAAACTCTTTGAGGAAATATTTTAACAAAAAGGGACAGACAGAGTGCAAGTAAAATTTCGAAACGATCTCCACCAATAAGTAAATAAAAAAGGAGATATGAAATGTATCACAAAAAAGATGCCAGCTAAACGCAGAATATGTAAGGAACCGTTTTAATCTTTTGATGAAAGTGTAAATCATGTGTAAATGAAAATGAATTAATTTTCTTGTTAAGAAAACGTCATTCCCTCACGTTTCCTACATGTTCAGTGTCCCTTACTTGTAAAATGACTAAATTTTCAGCTTGATTCGTCAACTTATTGCAGAAGCTGGTTCAATAATGAATGTGTTTCGGATCCACGATTTCCTATACACTGTACTGTACACACATTGACAAGCCTAGACATCGTTCTAATGAGGTGGTTGATATCCTGTTGGGGTATCTCAATCCACCATTCCAGGCTACAGTAACTTCGCGAGTAAGAGCTGCTAAAGCCTGTGGAGTGGGGGTCTTGCAAATTCAAAAGCCTGCGACCTATCCTGTGCCAGACGTTTAGCCACAGAATAAATATATAACAATTGTTTATTATTCTTTGGTTTAACCGAATACATTGCCGCTCTTGAAGATGATCTCGTATTGCGATGATCCATCTTCGTATAGGAGTTGGTACAGACACCGGCTTATTCGTGTAAGAAGCTCTATCGAGCCTCTGCAACAAGCGAGGTGACACCGGCAAACAGAATTCTCTAACAGTTCAAGCTTTTTTACAATGATAATATATTTCTTACAATGACAATATGTGTTAGAATTCTGTTGCGTGGTATATGCCTCAAATTGCAGAGATGTCGGTTTCCTTCTTATCAGGAATCGCCGCGTTCTATCTCCTAGAAAGAGGCACAAAAATGCCCGTTGTATCGGCTCTGCAATAGCCCGTCGCTTTGTACACCACCTTTCACACTATCAGTTTTACCAGTGTTTACTAATTACTGAAAAATGCATAAGGTTCAAAGTGTCCTAGCGTCGTCGTGGCTTGACTCGGAGCGGTGAAATCGAATATAAGTCTCCGTCGAGACTTCTCCTCGTATTCACCGTCGTTGTTCGATAAATCGTCGGTGTCAGTTCGACGCAATTTGTATCTAATAGTTTTAAAACTACTGTTTTTCTATTTCAAAAAGCGTATGTTTCTGACAGAGCCATTCTACAGCTGATACTCAGCTTTCGTGCACTGTGGTATAATAGCAGACAACGAATGAAGCACCACTAACCAACAAGGTCTAGTAGGGCTCGACGTGTCTGACAACTGAAGTCCCGATCAAGCAAGCAAGCAATTTAATTGAACCCAGCCTATGAGAAATGTTCACCCCTAGGTAGTACGATCGGGTGTAACAATTAATTGGAGCAAGGTGTGTTAACTCGAGTATAAACAGGAGTCATGCCACCGTGCTCCAATCCTCTACACCATCCCTTTCCCCCTATAGCACTCTGATGCGCTATAGAGGCACAACAATCAGCCAAATGCTCTTCATGTGGAGGTCCTGGGTAATAGAACCCCAACATGGTTTCCTAACCGAATGCAAAAACTCAGGACAGCGCATCTCCGCTATATTCCTGTTATCTTAATGTGGCTTATCCGCGAACTAAAATTGCTTACTTGGGCCTCAAGTCTCCGCTCTGAGTCCCGGCTCAGTTCGGCGACTTGGTGCTCAAGGGGTTGGGCCCTACGTGCCCGGGAAGTCCCGATCGGACGGTGCGTTGCTCTTTTATACACATCCGTGTTTGAGAATTCGCAACGATCCGCCGCCGAGAGGCCAACGACAGCGAAGTTAATAACGAGCGCTGTGATTGGACGGCCAAAGTAACAATCTTTATCGAGATTACTCGAGATTGTGTATTTTGGCGACATCAAATACAATTAAGTGACTGAATAATTGTAGTCAAAGGCAGGAATCAATAAGAAGCAGAACAAAAAATTGTAAACAATAAACATAACCTATGAATATCATCGATATTGATGATATTTTATTAAAAATGCATTTCTGATTAATATGAGTTTTTATCTGAAACCGCCTAGAGGAATTGTTAATCTACATACGTTGGAAGCATGTGTAAAAGAAAGACTTACATGTTACAATTTTTTGAAAAAGCAAAGCTTAGAAGTAACTCACTTTCAATATTTAGTAGAAGATAGTTCCTTAGATCGAACAGGTCATTTTATTTTAAGATTAATTGCTTGTTCTAATACGAAATTTAAGTATGATTTTATAGAAAATGAGGTACAACTTTTAGAAATACGACTGTGTTCTTATGACACACAAGATTTAAAACTTTGCCTCAAAAGGTTACTTAAACATACAAGAGAAACTCTAAATATAACTACCAATAAATCTTTATTGCAGTTACTTGCAGCTTTAACAAGAATACTGTTATTTATGCTAAAGAATGCTTATTTAAATCACATATTAAATGACTGTGAAGGTTGTAACCTCTTTACAATTGAAGGTATGTATGTACACTATCTTCATCATCACTATGATTATCTGTATATCAAAACATACTGGCAGTGTATGTAGAATTGTGGTTTTACTTAATCATAACACTTGGTGTTTTATATTCTCTTTATTGGTTTTTAACCATCCATACTTTTGTTTCTTGTGTATGTCTGCGGAAATATATTCGTCCTTGAAAGTTTTAAGTTCGATATCTATAAAACATAGGTATACTCTATAAAGTTCCAAGTTCTTCACCCTCCATTGTCATTCACCACTCTATAGATTTGCCTTTTCTCTCAAATTTGCTAACATGTTCTCATTACTATTTTTAAGTCCAGTTCTCCGAACTATATGTTAGGACTGAGCATGTTTTTGTTGTGTACAGGCTTACATATGTATTTTTCAGTGTAATTGAGGATGTAAAAAGGAGATTGAGCCCAACAAAGTATCTATTGGCCATGCAAATTCTGTAGTTTCCCTATATGGTAGTATTAATTTCAGTTTGATGAGTGCTCCCAAGTATACAAATTCATTAGCTGCTTTGATGATGTCATTTTCTATTACAAATATGTAAGCCCATTTTTGTAGTAGCTTGTAATGTTTAATATGTCTTATTTACAGCATTTTCTACTTTCCCAACAATATTGATATCATCGGCATAGATAAGGATATGCATGGATTCGCTACATATTGGTGGTTGTGATTTGTAACATACATAATACTTTTTCCAGAACCAAATTCAACAGTATATAGGAGAGTGAGTATCTCCCATTATTTGTTTTAAAGGGTAAGGCTTCTTGGATTCATACTCTATATTCAACTTTTTCAACGGTTAGTTTTGTTAAATTTACCAACTGACTTGATACTCCTAGATCTTTCATTGCTCTGAACATTCTTCTTCTATTTACAAATCTATCAGAATGTATTGCAATCTGATGTCAATTTACCACCTCTGGTATTTTCCTATTATTTGTTCTGCATAAGGTGCCATACAGTGTCATAGTATGGTGCAGAATATGATATACACTCCATTTAGGAGAGTAATTCTTCTGTGGTTAGAGCATTAAAAGATATATCCTTTTTTTGTGTATGGTTCAATGTATTCCAGTATTCCAAACATTGGGTAGTAATTTCTGTATCCATATTTCTTTTATGAGCTGCTGTAGTGCCATTATTGTATTGTGTCCACCTTCTTTATATAGTTCCTCTATGTCCTGGGTGATTTGTTTCTGACTAGTTTTTTAACTGAGTCTTTAACTTTTAGAATTGTTGGTGGGTCCTCTTCTCTCATGTCTATTTTGCCTATCTAATCTCTTTTGCCTTCTAGGCTTTCTACACAGTTAAAATATTTCATCAATTGATTCAATACATCTTGAATAGCCCTGAATTTTTTTTTAATATTTAAGTGGTTTTCATTTCTTTCTTTTGTGTATCATCTTCTCTTATTCTCTACTTCTCTGCTTTCATTGGATAATATTTGTCCTTAAAAATTTTAATTAAAAAATTCTTTTATATTATTATACCTTTTATAGAGGATTTTTTAAATAAAATGTTTGTGACTGTTGTGACTGTTTGTGATGGGATACAGCCGACTATAGGAAATTAATTTTCCTTATGGATTTGTCCTTAATTTAAATTATGCTCATGCCACTATATTAGACTAAAATTATACCCTACTATTTAAGTAATTTTAATGTTTTTTCAGTTCCTTTTTATTTTTGTTTGCCATTAGTTGCAAAATTAGAAGTTAATTTGGTAAATGGATTTGCAGAGATTCCATGTTATCTTTGGAAAAAATTGTTGTTATCTTTGTATCGAATTTATCTTAATCACGTTATAAATCATATGAGTTCCAATGAAAATGTAGCTTATGCTTTGGAAGATCCAAGGGTGAAAGAAATTTGGAAACATATACAAGCTTACAATTTAAAAAATGGCGTGGGAATACAACCACATTATGGAAACAAAATAGATGCACTAAATATTTTCGAGCAAGCTAAGTTATTTCCATTATGTATGCTAAATCTATTTAAAGTATTGGAAAAGAAAAATCGACTAGCTCACAATGACAGGTAAAATATATTTAATATATTTAATAAAATACATATATCTACAGGATTAATAATAGGATTTGACAAAATAACAGAATAATATGATTTTACATAAAACATTTTACGTTTTATAATAAATTAAAGTCATAGTCAAAACATTTTATTTACAATCCAAATTAAAAAATAGTTAAACTAAATAACATTAAACTTTTTATCAAAGTAAGTATTTAATATGTCCACCATTTTGTTTAGTTCATTTGTCAATACATTTGATAAAATATCGTCTCATATTAAATATCATCATTGTTTCTAAAGAAACTGCTGCAGTATTTATTATAAGTATTATAAGTATCATAATAAGTATTATTTTAGGATTTTTATGAATTAAATAATTAAATTAATATCTCACCACAAGATCAATGAATATGACTACCACGAACAATCCAACATTCAGGAAAGTTGCGTTTAAGTATGTTCTCAGTGCCCTCTCTCTATAATGTGGTTTTGTACCATCTTGCATAAACCACATATTTCACCTTAAGTTTGATGACAATTCTTCCAATAGGTATATCAATAAAATGATTTTTAAAAAATATAAATAAATCTCACCATTCAAATAACAAGATAATTCGCATGACCGTAAAAAATAATCACCAATGGTTCCAAATCATATGTTTATTTAGAATTCATGCTTAAAATGCATGTCGTGGTAAAGAAAATGGTGGACATATTGTCAAACATGAAAGTTATAGCGAAAAATAAAATTTTAAATTTCCTCTTTAACACCCTGTATCTTTCTTAATATCAACATTTTTAAATTGTAATATTTTAAAGTGTAGAATATACAGTTTCTTTTTGTACAATTACTTAAGGACCACCCTGTATAATCTGCTATCAAAATATTGTTCAATTATACCAGTTTTCTCTGTTGTACTGGGGGAATGCGACTTTAATGCTGCTGTCAGTCTATCTTGTATCTTATTTCTATAGGTCAGACCATCGAGCAAAAAGACAAAAAGAGGGAATCTAATCCTTATGAAAAGGAATCAAAAAAGTGGCCTGATGTAATCAGTAGTCAGATCAGATATTAACAGTAACTATATAATATTTTTCAGAATGTGTCTTAGACGAGAAATTTTTAATTAATTATTAACGGTAATAGTCTAAAATGCGACACAATTGTTAAAAAACTTCAATATAAATAAGATTTCATGTGACATTTGGGACAAACAATAACATAACCCATAAAATTTGATGTCAAACAAGGAGAGAGACTCTCTTTCCTCGTTTAATGTGGCCTCTAAAGATCGCACTTCCTGTCTACCAATATTTTTGCCCCCACTACCTTTACATTCCCTCTTTTGTCTTTTTGCTCGATGGGTCAGACCCAACCTAACCTAACCTTATGGAAGCTATTCGCGATAGCCAATTCCGACAGGGGGCGCTCAAAATTTCAAAGATGGACGATAACTTCGGGAAAATAAATCATTTTGTCATTTGATCTCGAAACTATAAAACGTTTAATATAAATTATTTACACGTGCGTTTTGATAAAGTAAAAGTTGGAGTATGTTCTTCAAAGTCTATTTGTTTGTGATTCGAGTTTATACATAAGGTAATTGACTCCCAAACCTGACTAAAAATAAAATTAAATGTTAGTTTTTTTGCAGTATATGTGAAACACGGGAAGTAAAAATTACTTTATCTCAATTATTTATGTGGTTGCAAGGTCGGCAGAGATCTTTAGTTAAGGGCGAAGCAGTTTTTGGAGCTGGTCACGTTATATTTTGTAAATTAAAAAACGAAGATGCCCTGGAAGTAGTTGCATTATGTGTGCAAACATCCAATATAAATAGTCTACCTCATGAAATTACAATAAAAATTCCGTGTGAGGAGGATATTATAACATGGAGCTGTAAATGTTCCTGTAAGGCTGGTGAATCGGGATGCTGTAAACATGTGGTGGCAACTTTAATTTACATAAATCGTAAATATTGTATATTATTGATAACAGGTATTGTATTATCGATTGAATATTAACGATATTATTTATTGATACAGGAACAGCAAATTAGAGTTCTGCAGCTTAACTGAAATGGAGCAAGCTTGGGGTGTTAATAAACCCCTTATAAAAGAAATTTATCAAGGAGAGAGGCTGGTCGACTTTGTCCCATTAAGAAACGATATTGTCCAAGTATCTTCAATCTTGATACCAGTAGAAGACTGGTATCAAGATTGAAGAAAACTTCAAAATTATGAGTGAATGTAAGTTTTAAAAATGTCTATTTTAAAATCGATGTCTAATTTACATACTTTTTTATTAAGTATTAGATTCCAAATTAAATTCCCCACTATATTAAATTAAAAATGGGAGAAGGAAGGACGAATTTTTCAGATACGACGTAAAAAATAATTTAATGTCCAGTCAATCAATAATCAGAGGTAACGAAGATGAATGCACCAGTACCTTTTATTTGAATAAGGTTGTATTAAATATTGAAGGGGCCGAAGAATTGTACTTTGCCACTTAAAGTCAAAGTGGTAGCAAATGGTTAGAAGAAAGAAGATGCAGAATAACTGGGTCAATTTGCTACCAAATATATACATATGCATTTAATAGTAACCCTAACTGGGAGCAAAAATTAAAATCCATATTTTATTCCACATTTAGGGGAAACACAATACAAGGTATGGAACGGAGCAAAATGTAAATGCCTTAAAGTTGTACAATGATGTCCATAACTGTGCAGCAAAAAAGGGAGGCTTTATTGTTAACCCTCAATTACCATGGGTTGGTTCTGCTCATTCCACATACACAATAGCTCTTGCGATGGCAACTGTGCAGAGATTTTTTTTTTATAAAGTTATTTCCTTTTCTTTAAAAAGGGCAGTCTTATCCATTTTTATCCATTCCAATGTTCTTCTCAATTCAAAACCCTTTGTCTACCATTATTGTATCGCTAAGTTCTACTAGTTCTACTTTTATTATAACTTTTTCATTTGCAAATATATGCTTATCCAATGTCCTACTTCCATAGCAAGAACTCAAGTAGGATATTAATTGGGAATCCCAAGGGACATACCTATTAGGGTTTTTTATAGTGTTACACTTTTTCTAATGCAAGTATGCTTTTATCCAATATTCCAATGATTTAGGTACAATTGTGCATATGTATTCTCTATATGAAAAATTGTGAATTTTTTTGTTTCTTGCTCACTTAACAAATCATATTTTCTAATTCCAATAGAGTATAATGTAGAATTTGTAAGAAAAAATGTTAGCTGTGAACCAAGGTCATTCATGTAAGTTTCCAGGGCATGTGCATGACCTTGAACATTCCCCCATCACTTTGACCCCAGACAGTTAATAAAGAGAAATGACAACCTATCACTCTCACGAAGACTTTAACCAATCATTTATTTTAACACAGTCTCGGGGTGTCAATAAAATAATCAAACAAACTTTAACTCCGCAATGTCAATTCTGTCAAAAGTAATGACAGATCTTCCATTTGTTTACAAGTTTTCAATTTTATTTTATTATCTTTAACTTTCGTTTGCATTTATTCTTAGTAATTTTAATTAAAGTTGATTACTTAGTTTTTAAAGTTTAGTTTGAGTTACCTATTGTAGCAAAGAATTTTTGTGTTGTGCTAGTAAAAAAACTAAACATGGTGAATATTGTATTGTTCCGTCGTGTACAAATCGTGGAAAAATTACAAAAAGGATGATGATAGTAAGTTTTCAGGAAGCAAACAATAATAGTATTTAACATATGTTTCTGAGAATATGTGTAATAAATATTATGTAATTAGTTTATAACTGTTTTATCTTAAACAACAAATAAATATACGTAAGTATATCTAGAAAAAATTGCGCATTTTTTATATCTCCTTTTATTTTTTAATATTATATGTGATTATTTCATCGGAAAATAGTAAGATATTCTCCAGTAAATTTTAATTAGTAACGAAATAGCCCGCAAGAGGCGCTAAAGGGTATGTATGTAAGGGGTGTCCATTTGAATTCCCGCCAAAAGATGATTAGTAATGACCCCAGCCGAAAGGGGTCCTAATGAACGAAATTTATACATTTAGTTGCCTATCTATTTCTAATATTATATTATTTATCTATGATACTATGTTTAATAGAGGTTAAGTTAACAAAATGTGTGAGTTAGCATTTATGTTAAGGTTATGTACTATTTCCTTACATAATAGGATTGTTTAATTCTGTGTTAATTCTTTTCCTTGGAACCTTACGTTTTCTACTAATAACTTCATGAGGCCTTTGTGGCAATTTAGCTGATGGAACAGCATTTTTCTTCAGTCTTCTTAATTTAGTTTCAGGTGTTACTATAAAGTAAATTAAGTATAAATATATTAAAATATAAATATTTTCAACACTTACTTTGAAAGTAATCGTTCTCAGTTAAATGTAAACTGCACACAGTCATGTACTTTGTTATAGGTTTGCCAATTCGCAAAATGCATTGCCAAACTTTTTCATATTCTCGTCCAGCGGAAACTTATGTATGGAATTTTTTTTTGTGAGTCATAATAGGATGAACATTGAGGAACACAGCAATAGTTTTTTGAAGCCGAAGTCATTGTTTATTACAATCACATTACAATATAAACCGGTCGCAAATATGTATATATACAAATTAATTACAAATGACAATTTCAAGGTTTTCACGAAGTGGATGGTTTTGAAATCTACCACCAGGCGTCGCCCACTTTGCGGTTCCTCGCGAATCCTAACGTAGCTACTTATTTTCCCATTTTTTCATTTTAAATTCTAACTTACCCAACTGCAACCCCTCATTCATTTCCAATACCTACTCAAAAAAAGTCAATAGAGAAGGATCCCTTCCACTGGATCATTTTCTATGAAAATTTTTTTGATAAGTTCAAAAGTCTATCTTCATTAGTTGTGTTGCGCAAGTACGTTTTTGTCCTATTGACACACGAAAAACTTTGTTCTACCAGATACTTGTGGATAAAATGGCCACAATCAAGCACACTTATTTACATATAAGATTCTTTGAAAATAGAACTAGTTTCATTCAACGTTTTTAGAAGATTTTTAATTCCATTCCGATATACTGGTCGTCATTAATATATCAGCAGCAATTTATTCTTCAGCGTTTGCAAATCAGTATAAAAATCCGGATAGCACATATTAAAATTTTTAAGTGCATCTTTAGTGTAGTACGTTTTAATACCCATTAATTATATAAAATGAATATTTTCAAGATCCTTAAAACATATGGTTATTTGTCAATTCAGAGTGTCCAAAATTTCATCATTAAGCGCCTTGTACCTACCGAAAATTTGTTCTTGTGCGTGTGTGGCTGTTATTTATTTTCCTCCATTAAGATTTTCAGTAGTAACAATTGCTCCCAATGCAGGTATGTCGAAATATTTTTTTAATTCTTCACTACGTTTGGAGCTTAGCAGTGTGTTCGTATTTCTTCTCTGTCCACTACAAAAGCTTCATGTCAAAAGATTTTTTCTGTACCACATCAAATAATATATCCCTATGGCCAAAGATATCATTAAAAATTACCACCAAGAGGGCAAACTTAAAAGTTGGATTTTTTGCATTTTGCATCTGTTAACGGATTTTATTCATTTTGCTTTAATTTGACAGTAATAACAAATAGTAAAGAAGTGAGTAAAAAAATATATTGTATGACGATTTCATTATGAAACAGAAAACCCCCAATGTTCATCGAAAAACATAATATAGAGTCGCTAGCAACAGAGAGTACAAAACTGCTCTATGAGAACAGGATTACCATCAAACTAAAAGAGATCGACTTAAAACCCGAATGGGGAGTAGAAGATACTTGGCAAAAAATTAAGAAATGCATCAACGAAGCAGCAGAAGAAGCGATTGGTAAGCGGAAAATTAACACGAGAGCGACAAACCACACCAAACCGTGGTTTTGCCAAGAGGTAAAAGAACTCTCTGAATTAAAACGCAAATGCTACCTGAGATATAAAAGCACGCAATCGAAAGAAGCTCATGCAGAATATGTCCAAATAAGAAACGAAGTAAACGCCAGAATAAAATCAATCAAAAGAGAACATTGGGCCAAATTCACTTGCGACATGGACTACGACCTATATGGTGCCCAAAAAAAAGTATGGAAAATGCTCCGCAACAGGAAAAAACCAGTTAACGAGTTCGTGCAGACCAAAGGAGTACCTATAGAAACATGGCAACAACATTTTAAAGAGCTATATGATGCTGAAGAAACGCTGAATATAAACGAAGGCGAAACAGATGTGAGTGCTACAATCAATGACGAAGAAGTAGAAGCAAAGATCAAAAAGCTAAAAAACAGAAAATCACCGGGAACGGATGGTATACCCAATGAACTTTTAAAATATGGAGGCCCGGAACTTGCAAGTAAACTGGCACAACTATTTAACAAAATATTAAACAAAACAGAAACACCAGAGGAATGGCATAATAGTATCACAATCCCCATATTTAAAAAAGGACAAAAAACCTGCCCACAAAACTATAGAGGAATAACACTCTTAAATACAACAATGAAACTTTTCACGGGTATTCTCAAGGACAAATTATAAAAGCAAATCACTAATGCTGAAGAACAACAAGATTTTACAAAAGGGCGGTCTATAATAGACGCAGTATTTGTAATAAAACAAATAAAAGAAAAAGCTATAGAGTTCGGCATGCCAGCGTATATTTGCTTCATTGATTTGACGAAGGCATTTGACAGAGTTCGCCTGGGAGACATTCTAAATATATTAATAGAAAATGAAACACCGACCAGTATAACAAAGATACTCCATAACCTAAATAACAACAACGTAACCAAAGTTAGAGCAGGAGACGAATTCACTGAAAATATTCCAACACCGGGAGGAATTAGACAAGGCGACAGTTTAAGCCCCTTCTTGTTTAATCTTCTCATGGGAAAAATTATCAACAAAGTAACATCTCTTAATCTCGGATATAGAATGGACAACAAAAGAATTGGTATGGTGTGCTACGCAGACGATGCAGCAATTATTGCCGAATCAGAAGATGATCTCCAAAGGCAGCTCTTTCAGTTCTTTCAAACAAGCCGACTATTAAATATGAACATCTCTACCAACAAAACTAAATGTATGACAATAGCAAAAGATCCGCTCAGATGTAAGTTAGTGGTTGAGGACAACCCCATAGAACAGGTGATGCAATTCAGATATCTGGGCATAGATATATCAAGCACCCATGACCCAGTAAAGGACCTGAGGAGTCAGATCAACAAAGCATCTGCACTGTCAGGATGTCTGCGGGAGATAGTCTGGTCTAATCCGTATATGCGCACAGATAGTAAAATTAGAATCTATAAGACTTGCATACGACCGATCATGACGTATGGCATAGAAGTGCGCGAAGATACCAACAAAACGAAACAGATGCTAAGGGTTGCCGAAATGAAAACCCTAAGAACAATAATGGGGAAAACAAGAAGGGACAGAGTGAGAAATACAAACATTAGAGAGCAGTGCAAAATTCAAGATATTGTAAGATGGGGAAGACAGCGCAAGAGGATGTGGTACAACCATGTAAGACGAATGGATGAGAATAGACTCCCAAAAATTGCCCTAGAAAACAATCCGCCTGGTTCAAGACCCCCCGGAAGACCACCTAAAAGATGGAGGGATAGTTGGCAATCTACCTCCCAAGAAATTAACCAGAGGCAGCTTCAGAATTAAACAGATCGAAAGATCTACAAAAAGTAGAAGAAGAAGATTTCATTACATTCTAAATAATAATAATAATTAAAAACATTTTAAACACACATTTCTGGTGCTTCTTTAGTTGTGCTACATAAATCTTCTTCCACTTCTGCACCAACTTGACTGCATCCTTTAGATTAGATTGCCAATCAGACCCAAAATGCAATTCAAGAAGCCTTTTGACGTCAGACAACTTTTTCTTGTTAACTTGAGTCTACTACTGGAGTCTGTTTACTAAGGTATTGTCCTTGGTCACTTTTGAAGGATTAATACTTAAAACATTCTCTTTTCCTTTCATAATGGATTTGAAATTACCAAAGGCCTGATAATAAAACTGTTCTGCTTAGACGAGAATCATGTGCTGAGATTTTGCTGCTTGCTTGAATTGAAACTTTTTTGAAGGTTGCAATTTAAAGTGCCATTGAGAATTAGGTTTACAATAATCTACTGCCTCTTGTTTACAATCAAAATATCTACGTCACTGTCAAGTCGTCTTATTGTCGCATACTTTTAAATTATTTTATCATAGCCATCTGGAGTCTCGATAATTTCTTTTTTGTTGAACTCTCTTTGGTAAAGACCGAATAAACGATCTGGTGATACGGACAAATACAAACAGGCGTCAAACCGAAGTGAAGTCCAAAAAGTGTGAGGAATGAAATAAGTGATTGTACGCTCACTTATTTGACTTGAGACTCAAGGCATTTTGTCTGAAATTGTATAATATGTCTCTAAAAAGCCTTAAAACTGCACTTACATAATCGAATAACGCTACTTATCATTGTTCGAGAATGATAAAATCATAATCAATATAATGAAAGAAAATGTGTATATATTCCTTATGCCATCTACAAATACCGATCATTAATTGGCCTACATAAACTTTGTAAGATAAAAAATATATAACGCAAATGTTCCTTTAAATTTTCTGCTGTATTTATTAGCAATAATAAATTAAAAATTCGTTTTAGGTTTGACTTGAGTTTATATTTGAAAGGTATTGGAATGCCAATGTCTGAATCACTTAAATTCTGGGAAGATATGTATTCAAAAGAACACAGTACTTGCTCTAGATGTACACACAGTTGGCAAAAAAATGAAAAACGGTATATTTATGGAATTCGTCATTTGTATGGATTAGAAGGCTCAAGAAAGAATTATCAGTGTCGATCATGTACATATTTGCAGGTAAAGTGTGTTGTCTTTTTTTTCACAATATATTTTTAGTTTATTTTTTTTGTAAAAAAGAGAATTGTCATATTCTTCTTCTTTTACTTTGTCACAATGCTGACACACTAAACTATATTCAACCCCAAGCTACCGACAAAATAAATAGAAGTCACCGCGTGATATTCGAGTCTACATGCGACGAACACCTTGCTATTGGCCGCAAGTTATGATGCGATGTCACCAGAAACTTTCGGCTAGAACTTTCGAAATATCGCCAGAAACTTTGTTCTGTAATGATATGATGTCACCAGAAACTTTGGCTACATCAGAAGAAACTTTCGGAATCGACGAGGTGACAGCAGCATGTTTGTCTTAAAACATATAAGTTTCCGGGTCCTAACCCTCTTTCTCCAAAGCGTTCTTTAGTCGTTGGACTAATCCGTCATTTTCACAATTTATTTAAAATCCCACTTCTTACACCAATGAACTGTTTTTGTTAATCTAATTTAGTAACTTTATTTATTTTAAAATGTTCTAACACTTAGTTTATTAGAGTCTTTATTTAATTTATATATATCGAGTTCGGGGTATCAATCTGCCTACTCCCCTCACTCGAGACGTACCAGTATCGTGTTCTGTATAATATATACAAGAACTGTCTCTCGGCACTGAGGTCTCAATCTGCCTACTCCTCAGTGTCGAGTGACAACCGGTCTTACCCTGTGTCGCTGCTTTTATACTCGCTGTATGCGCGCGAACGGTATGCGCTGACGTGGTCTGAACTGACGTGACCTGAGCGGTGTGCGCGGGAGGTCGCTGAAGCAGCGGTCGCCATGTTGCCGGCAATCGTTTCGCGAAATTAGCCGAAAAAGCTTCGTCTTTTTCGGCTAATTTCAAAAACTTTTTTAATTTTATTGATCTTCTGAAAAACATTTCTATCTCACCCTCAGATATACTAGTTTGATTTGATATTGTTTCTTTGTTCACCAACATTCCTATCGATGAAACCATTTCCATCTTGGACTCTAAACATCAAATCCCCCAAGACACACTATCTCTTATAAAACACTGCATGTCTAATACATACTTTTCATTCCAAAATAATTTCTATCGTCAAATCAAAGGTGCCCCAATGGGATCTCTCCTCTCTCCCTTGATAGTTGATATTTTCATGGAACATTTGAAACAGCAGCCCTGTCCTCATCAAATCTCAAACTCACCTGGTGGTTACGGTATGTTGATGACACATGTTTGTCATTTGGTCTCATGGTAAGGACGCGTTAGATCTTTTCCTCTCCCACCTGAATGGAATACATCCTAGTATTCAATTCACGATGAAAGTTGAGTCTGAAGCGTCTTTGCCATTCCTTGATGTCCTTATTCAGAAAAACTTACCTCACAGTTTTTCCTATTCCGTGTACCGGAAATCCACTCATACAAACCGATATCTTAATGCCCAGTCACATCATCACCCCGCCCAACTCAATTCAGTTCTCAACACTCTCATTTCTCGTTCTGTAAGACTTAGCGACAACAATCATAGGTCATCCGAAATCAATTCAATAAAGCAAACACTCTTACAAAATGGCTACCACAAAACCCAAATCAATAAGAGCATTCAAAAACATCTAAACCCTATTCCATCCAAAAAAGAAACCTTGCAGCCGGATCAACCCAAAATCTTTCTACCTTTTATTAAAGGTGTCACTGACAAGATCAGTAGAACTCTCCTTCCTCTAAACATCAAATCTATCTTCACTACTCACTCCAAGTTGTCCAATCTCGTCAGATCCGTAAAAGACCAAATCCCTAATGAAGACCATGGTGTCTACGAGATACCTTGTTCCAGTTGCCTACGTACATACATCGGACAGACAAACCGACGAATCTATAACCGTATTTACGAACATTCTATATCAGTCAAACATTCCGATACTACTTCAGCCCTAGCCCAACACCATATTCAAACAGGCCACAAAGTAGACTTCGAAAAAGCAAAAATCATCGCCCCCATCCGCTCCTTAAAATCAAGAATCATACATGAAGCTATCGAAATCAAAAAACCGCCTAACAGCTTAAATACGCGCGATGACGCGAAACGGTTGCCAGCAACATGGCGACTTCTGCTTCAGCGACCTCCCGTCAGCGCATACAGTTCCCGCGCATACAGCGAGTATAAAAGCAGCGGCACAGGGTAAGATCGGTTGCCACTCGACACTGAGGAGTAGGCAGATTGAGACCTCAGTGCCGAGACAATTCTTGTATATATTATACAGAACACGATACTGGTACGACTTGAGTGAGGGGAGTAGGCAGATTGAGACCCCGAACTCAAACCGAACCGTATCACTCTTGATAATGGTTCCAAAATGGGAGTCGAAAGGTCGAGCATTAAATTCTCAACGTGGTTCTTCCAGAGAACGTAGTGATTTTCATTCATCTGATAATTTATTTCCGCGTTACAATTCAACGACTCGATACCATTCTCTTTTCCGACTAACTGTTTACAAATAAAAATTTCCTCTTTATATATTAAATAGCCGTTATTCCGAAGTTTCCTAAAATTCGGAGACGGTGACCTTTGCTGACCCTTCTCGAATAGGATGGAACGCCAGACAGATTTTATCGTAGGTATTTATCGTAACAATATCTATACGCCATTTCTTGTGGTCAATAAAGGCAGTAAAATGTTCGTTTTTATTGTGTGTGTGCCTGGTTAGAAATGACTAATAAGTTATTCTTTGCAACCCATGGAACCCTTAGCGCATTATTTCTGTTAAGCCTCTATATTGTTTAGAGCACAGTGTTGGTAGATACGCTGGGCTACCCAGGATGTGACCAATTTATACAAACTTAAGTAATTATGTAGTAGCGGGGCTGGATCTTGGTAGTTATATTGATCATTCAGTATTAAATCAGTTGTTCCTTGAGTTGGAAATGATGATATTTCCTGCGAATTAGAAATAAGATGAGTAATTAATGTTCATAAGTACTAGTGAACACTAAAATACTTCTTTAACCAGAAATTTTGAACACCGTCTGGTCCAGAAGATTTCCAGTCTTTAAACTAAAGTTCTACTTATGAAGCTCTTTGAAAATGTTTGAGACTTCTTCTGTAGTGAAGGGTTCGTAGGGAGTAGTACTGTAGTGTTATGAGTTGTTCACTCTACATGATCCAGCTTAGTGGTAAGAGCAACTGGAAAGTTGATTTCCCCAAAATTCATGAGTTTCTTCTAGGCTTGTTTTTTATTTGTATTTATTTTTATTTTTTAAAAAGGCAACTTTTTATTTTTATTCTACAGTGAATTGAGTTTTCTATAGAACGCTTTCTTTGCATGCACGAAAAGTGTATCGTCGCATTTCTGGTTATTACTAACTCTTGTATTTTCTTAGGCGGCCTGAATAAATGGAGAGTCTTTGTTTTAACGTATGCAGGAACTGCTGGGCTCTGATGTTTTTTGGATCATATTGTGGGTGTCTTGCAGTGCTCAGATTTGTGTTTACTTATTATTCCTCGAATATATTCCGTTTTTACTACGCAATAGTTCAATCTTTCTTAGCAGCCGTTTTCCCAGGGTGCAATTCTTTCATCAGTTCTTCCGATGTTTGTAATCCGTCGTATTCTGATTTTATGCCCATAACATCAACAATTGTTGTTGCTGCACAGTAAATCAGTCAATCAATATTGCAATGTATGGGCTTTTACGACATAATTGGGTAGTACAATTTGTAAAAGCTTAGCGTTGGTCTGCTAAACGAGTTAGTTGAATTGAACTCTTGCTACCCAGGCTATCGTATAGCTTGTTGTTGTTCCGATGCGTATTGTCAGGTTGTACCACTTGGTTATGAATATCTCGTTCAAATACGCTTTTGATGATATCGCATCTAGTCTTTATGATAAGATTGTTTGATGTAATACCCAAAGAGCATCCCCCATTTGAAGGAGGCAGTGTTTGATATAAGAACTAACAAAAAATCCCATAGGATAAATTTATTTATACTAACATTATTATTTTCAGACCCGTGTTCTCGGTCCTAGAGATGAGGGAGGATGTCCTTTTAAACAATTTGACGATATTAATTTAAGAAACTTACTGAAATCTGATTTCCCAATAAACTCTCAAGAATTAGAAGCGATAATCATAGCGAGAAACTCCGAACCTGTTGAGGCTTGTAGAATGTTCTTGAAAACTGTATATAATCTCACAACTTGTAGAGAATCTGAGCGCAATTTTACTTTTATGAGCCCAGTAGACTATTATTTACAATTAAATAAAGAACTTATAGGACGAGAAGATAGGAAAAGTAAAAAAGTTTAAAAATAAATTTATTTATTGTTGTTATAAGTATTATATCTAGGAATGTGTGCAATTTTTAAAATTTATAAATATAGTATTGCTCAATTTTTAGAGTAATATTTTTTATGTTTATACAATATAATTATACAGATGTAAAACTGTTTAAACAGGTCGGTAAAGTAAAAATGATGTTTTTACAAATATGTATGTATATTTTTTAAATTCATCAAATAAAATTATTTACATAGATAGTAGATGATTATTTTTCAAGCTTCACCTTCCTTCATGAAGATTTTCTTAAACCATTTTTAAATGCAGATTATGTTTTCTATCTGGTAAATAAACAAACTGGATTAATTGTTATTTACGGGAGCAATAGTGGAAGTTGCCTTTGTCGTAAGAGGTGAACAGTAAAATAATTGGATCGAAATGATAATACGATACATAAAATTTCGATCCTATAGATTATGTTTCTCTGCTCATCCGTCCGTCTGTCCAGTCTTAGATTGAAAAAACTCTAATAGAGAACAACTGACAATGAATTCCGATTCAACACTTAACGTTATTACGGCAAAAATTGTCAAAACGGAAAATATACACTTCCGATTATAAAAACTTTTGACTTTCGGTGAAAGTTTTTGTTGACTTTTGATTTATTTTTGATCTCTTTAGATGTGATTTAGTTGTAAACCATGCAAAAGTTGTTAAAAATTAGAAATTCCATTCAAGGTTCCTTATTGGATCAAAATAGTTTCGGACCAGAGCTTTGTTTCCACAATAAACATTCGCACAGAAAAATTATGATAAAGCCACTTTACAAGTAAGTTCAGTTGGACAATGATTTGACAACGTAGAACAAAGAGTAACATTTTAAAAATAAGAACTAGTTTTATACAAAGTACGTAAATTAGATAACGATAAAGAATATAATAGATATAGTAAATATAATAATAATAAGAGATTAAAACGTATCAGGCATGTAGACACTGATAAGAAAGACAGCAGAAGTTAACGAACTATATGACTCAATCAAGAATATAAATAAATTAGAAAACTACTAAAAATATATATCTAAACAAATGAAGAAAAACAATGAAAACGAAATGCAACTATCTGGTGGAGGACGAGACTTCAAACAGCTACAAAAGTCAAGTTCAGCAAGGTGCGAAGACTTACGTGTTGTAACAAAAATGTGTGACTGGGAGTTATAGGACGCCAATGTAATAAAACGTGTATGTGTAATGTACCACAAGTATTTGGAGTGATGTAACAAAAACAAATAAATTAAATCTGGCTAGCAGAATGTGCCGGAGAGTGACTACTTGACATTCAAAAGAGGATTCGGCCAATTTGCATGCCCTACAGAGACCGTAAAATGGGAGAATGAATGAAACGGTAATAAAAAAATATAAATACTTAATGCAAATGAAAGTGGTAAACTATGGAAATTGCTCTAAGAGGTGATTGAGCGCCAAAAAAGTAGTAACATATACCTTCCAAGGTATCTCGTAAAGCTGTTTGCTGAAATAAAAGGGAAACAGGTATTAATTGAAATATTTAGTTTTCACCACAAATTTAATACCTATCCAAATATATAGTCTAATTTTTTTATAGCTACCCACCACCAATTATGTACAGTTAACCTAGTTACTTCAAGGTTAACTAAAAAATTCTCTGGTTCTACAAAATTTATCTGGATATTTACAAATAATAAATCTGCTAGTTCTTCCAAAAAAAAAACTTTAATATTCTAAAATAACTTCTAAGCCAACTCTGGCTACCTTCTTTTAACCTCAAGTCTTTACCCGTCAAAAGTCAGAACAGAAGTGCCCGATGGCCACTCGTTTTGAGTTAGCTAAGCTATGGTTGCCAAAATGGCCGCTTGGTATCGCTGTTTAATACCAACTAAGCTTGTCGCTGTTTAATACAAAGAGAAGCAAGATTGGGAGCCTACAGAGTAAAACAATCACTGAAACTTTGTAATGAAGAGAGGGACAGGGCATATGAGTATCACAAGGACTGTGACGAAGGACATTTTTAATGAGAAACCAGATCATATAACTTTTAAGAATTCATATAAGCTGTCTATTCCAGACAGAAATATATGAAGAAACAAGGAGTATCATACTGCAATGTGCAAGAGGAAATAATGAGAGAGCTATTGAAAAAAAGGCCAGGAAGTGACGTCTAGGCTGGTGTGGGACTGCATCAAAGAACTGAACGAACTGTGATACCGAAACAAGTTTGAGCTTGTCTTGTATAGGACATTAAGGCATCGAAGGCAATGAAAAAGCAGATCAACTTGCAAAAAGATGATCGAATGAATCAAACGGGTCGGCTGCACCAAAGGCTGGGGTTCGTAGGGCTGTAGAGGCCTGAATCAGAGAGAGGCATGAGCGATATTGGGAGAGAATCACAAAAAAACACATGAAAAATATTGGTGGAGCATGTAGAAAAAGAACAGAGAAACTGCTTCATATGGTCAGGAATAAACTGAGTACAGTAAGACGAATGTTGACAGGGCATGAACCAGTAAGAAAATTCCAGAATAAAATATTTATGTACAATGGAGACCTTAACGGCACGCTCTGTGATAAGAAACTAGAAATTGTAAAACATGTATAATGCGATTGCAAGGCGCTGGACCGTAAAAGACAAAAATTGTATGGGCATTCAAGAGGAGACCCTGGTATATTTAGGAAACACTAAACAAAAGACCTGTGCAGCCTTGTACAGGGTACAAAAATTCTAGACTGATTGTAGAAAACAACAATGAGCAGCAATTGTTGATGACGGGCCCAGGGAGAAAAAAAATGGGACAGTGTTTGTTTAACATATCTAAGTAGGACAAACATAGAATAAATGTAAGTAGCTTATAAGCTTTAGAGTATCAAATGTGCGAATTAAAAATACACAAATTTTTAACCCATAAACTGATTTTTATTATCATACAACCAAATGAAAACTTCTTCAAAAAAATAAAATTTTACGTAATATTTCTTAATATTTTGAAATCATAATTATGATAAAGATGAGTTCACTTATTTTGGGGTGCAAGTTTTGTATAATATCTTCAGGTAAGTTTTTTTATTGCTGTCTGTATATTTCTGTACATATTGTCATACACATTGATGTTATGTCCATTGTTATGACTAGCATTTGTAATCTACAACATATTAATTTTTAATGTATATTTCAGCTACGCCTAGGAGCAGGATTTGCATTAAAAAACTATGCCAAGTTCGTAGACAATATACCTTGCAGCAAAGGAGCATCACGATGGGACATCATCACGCATCGCTTGGAATTTATGTCCTCTATTGCAAACTATGCCAAACAATGGAAGGATTCTGGGGTAATACCTACTTTAGTTTATATTGTTCTGAAGCTATTTTCTTGTGGCATTGTAAATTAATTATTATTTATAACAGGCTTATTCCCAGTTATAAATAATAATTACTTTAGTTTAGTTTGACGCAAGTAAAAACGATAGTATATATAAGCTACTTACCAAAAAAATTAGCCCAGGGAAAAATGGTTACCGTGATTAATACGGAAACTCATAAATTTTCATAGCAATTAGTGTCTATTTTTATTCAAAGACTTAAAACAAAATTATAATTGAAAGAGGGTATAATTGTTTACCGTTAAAGAAGAGAAATATCTCTGCCAATATGTTAAAAAGGTGACGCTGATGAATTATGGACTGATGCTGATAAGGCTGCAGAAGCTAGCTTATGATCTTGCCAAGACCAACAAAAAATTATCCAGTCATGGGACGAAAAGAAGTTAGCGAGGGAATCGTGGTTACGATACTTTCGTAAAAGGTTTCCATTCCCCTCCCTTCGAAGCCCTGAACCCACAAGTCTCCCAAGGGCAACTGCATTTAACAAGTACGATAGAAGCCAGTAAATTGACAAAGAGTGACCACATAGAGTTCGCGTTAGGGTACTCGCGAAGAATAATCACTATTCTGCCTCATATAATTCACAAACTGTAGCCGTTGGACATCTCAGTTTTCGGTCTATTCAAAAGATACTAATATGAGGAGATAAATAATCACATGAAAAATCTAATGGCAAGACGTAAACACATATATGCCGAAAACCTATTATGCCAAAACATGTTTCCAGAGCCTGACTTCTTAAGCTCCTTCACTGATAGGTCCGAAGAAGAATTACGACGTCACTTCTAATTCTGAAAAGAAAGAGTTACCTGGAACTTTATAATGTCACTAAACAAAGTACTCCCCTTACCTAAAGAGTTGGAACCGGGAAAGACACATCGTAAAAGGTAAAAGGGGCAAATCTTTGATACTCACTTCTATATCTGTCAAAGAAGCGATTATGGCAGACCGTGATCTTAAGGGAAAAACATCAAAGAAATATAAAATCCCACAAAAAAAAATAGCTGTATTTTCTAGTGAAGAAGAGGAAGAGGACATAAAGTTCTCTAGTGGTGACAGTGATTACTATAAGGAAGGTCCAGATGAAGACGTCATTGATGGAAAAGATTATTTTGACAATGTGCCGAGCCGAGCCTGAGATCATGGGTGCTCGTCGAATTTATTGGAAGAAAAAACAAGCTCTACTACATTGAGGTTGTGAAAGCCGTCAACGTCTACGAAGCCTTTGTGGTGGAATATTTAAAATTAAAGGAAAACTCTTTCTTGTTTCCTGACATCACGGACGAAGAAGTGCCAAAGCCACCTGTTATACGAACCGGATATCATACCTTACTTAAATTCCTAACATTTTTAACTCTGTTTTAATAAAAAATGCAAATATTTGTGATTTTTTGTTTAATTTCAATCCTCTCAGCAGGTACAAAGGTGTCCTTGGGGATGTTGCCATGCTGTACCCGCGGACAGATTGCAATCTTTTAAGAAAACCCTTACTCATTAAATTGCACTGGGAATTAGTGATGAAGACCTCTCTGTTATGTGGTCATTAATGATCATTAAGTCAAGCTATTGATTAGACTTTTGCAAACCTTATAAAATTTGAAACAAAGGACTAAAAAATTAAAAACTGAAAAGTGTCCTCTGATACAGCAGGCTCCCCAACTAGTTTTAGGTATCTAGTATCGGCACTCTAGAGCAATGGGGTAATAGATAAAGATGCATCCAGTAATAGTAATAAACGACAAAATTAACAATAAGTCCAGCTACTAC